AGGCCAGAATTATTATTTCAGTCACCTTTAGAGAAGATCCCTTTCCTCTTGGGTATGTTTTCTCATCTGTAATATGGGATGGATAACCGAGATCATATTAGTGATCTCATCCATCCTAATGATCCACTAAAGGTCTCTAGATCTATAGTTCCATGTTTTTCAAATGCTCTCTACCTTTTGGAATTACCATGGACTCTTCCCTGTCCTCACCTTCATATATCCAATCTATCTGCCAGTGCTATTTATTTTAGTTTAAAGTATACTACAAATCCAACTACACAAATATAATAATTTTCTTCACTATAATTTCCCCTGGACGCCCAGGAAAGCATCTTGCTTGGCCCCTCTGCTTCCACTCTTAGCTATTCTATGCTCTAATTCATTTTCATCATAGCTCCTCAGAGTAGTATTTCAGCATGTAAATCAATTCTTCCCTTGCTTAAAATTCTCCAATATTTTTTCATTGTATTTAAAGTAAAACTCCAATTCTGTACTATGGCCATGAGGCCGTACGTGATCTTGCCTCTACCTATTTCTATAATGTTATCTCAAATCATAAATTCTTTTCATTCACTACAAGTCATGCACACTGGTTACCCTTAGTGGAAAGCACTAAGCTCTTTTCCACCTGAGGGCCTTTACACATGGTTATTATGTCTCTCAGTTCTGATAAGCCTAGCGCCCTCTTACCTATCAGCTCCTCTTATAAACCATCTCAGAACATCCTAAGTAAGTCCCTTTAATCCCACTTTCCTTATTATATATTGCTATAAGAGATTCATTTTATTCATAGTACATCACAATTTATACATTCCCAATTGCTTGTTTAGTGTCTGTTCATACCACTATACTGCCAGTTCCTTGAAGCAAAGACTCGCATCCTTTTGCTCCATCATCAATATATGTTTATATCCTTAGCACCTGGTACCATGCACTCCATGCTATAGATGATCACTAAAGTCTGTAGAATAAATGGATGACACTGGCCACAAATAGGAGAAAATGTCCAGAAAGGAAAGTTGAGGGAACTGAAGACACATTTAAAAAAAATATATTTCATTGATTATTCACAGAGAGAAAGGGAGAGGAATAGAGAGCTAGAAACATCGATGAGAGAGAAACACTGATCAGCTGCCTCCTGCACACCCACCAGGGATATGCCCACAACCAAGGCACATGGCCCTGACTAGAATCAAACCTGGGACCCTTTATTCTGCAGGCGATGCTCCATCCATTAAACCAAACCGTCCAGGGCTGAAATAAATTTTGACTGTGATGATTTTTTGTCTCTCATATATTCCTTCTCAAAATGTTCCTCTCTATAAAAAAGGAATCTGATATCTGTATTAAAAATAGATCTTGGTCACAAGAAGCAGGCCTACAAGTCAATTCATCGATGGCATTTTTATCTGTGATCACAAACTACAGTGAATTTTAACTTTGAATGTTGAAATAGGTTACACAGAACACAATTTTTATATAAAAATTTATGAGGGGGAGGGAAGAGTCTTTAAAGCATTTCAGTAGCATCTGTTGGCACGGTCCTTAAGTGTGCTAATTACAGGTTATTTTATCTCTTCATGGCGCGGGTACAGAAAACACTGACTTTAGGTACTTTAGACAATTCTGCTGATTGACTCTCCAACCTCCATTCCCACTCCTACTCTAGAGGCTAGAACACCTAACTTCTTGCCTCCTCACCTTCTTTGCCATTAGAAGTGATCATGGGCCACTGTTCTGATAGGAGAAGATGTCTGTTTGGGATAGGGGATATTCTGTTATGCTTTTATTTCCTGATCCTAAGAGATAGAAATGGCTAGCAACCCTTCTTTCCCTTCTTGCTGCTCAAATATGGACACAGGATCTGGGAGCTGCCATCTTACAAACACAAAGAAAAGAGTTACAGAACAGCTGACCCTGATGCCACTGAGTTAAGTAAGAGCCACTGTTTAAAACCACTTTTCTTATGTGAGAAACAGAACTCTATCTGTTCACATTACTGTCGTCAGGTTATTCTGTGATGTGCAATCACATCTGGCCGCATTTTGTTGGCATTGGTCAATAGATCTTAACATGAATTTTGAAGAGGTTAAAAAAAGGCAGTGTTGTACATATGAATGCAGATACAATTAGCTTCCCACATTTTAAATTCATGAGGATTTAAGGTCTATTCTTTCAGTAAATAACAAGAAGAATTAATTGAAACTCACTGGAAAGGGTGTTTGATATTTACATGTTCCTTAAAAATGCCTTCCACCATAGCACCCAAAGTTGAAGTGGTGTTATGCATATCATGAAACCTGTTTAATTCATCAGGAAATGTGTATAAAACATAACCTTCTATTGGTGTTTGCAGTTGTCTGCTTGGTCCCTGGCCCAATTCACTGTCACAGTATCCTTTTGTCTGGCCCTAGGAAAGTGCCATCTCTCTTTAGCATGTATTTCCAAGAAATATTGTGATGTGTATTCTGACTCTGAGGGGGTTTTTACAGGCCCCTAAGCTCTGGAAGTGGTCAGGGTAGGCTCCATAAAAATGAGTCCACCTCAGGGAGATAAAACTCCTTAGTTTGTTAGGTTTACTCTTGTGTCTGTCAGACTCTTTAATCCAAAATGACAAATCTTTCCTCTCATTTACTGGGAGGAAGAGCCTCAGAAATCCAGGCATTGATGGTCTGGAGGGAACCGCTGGCTGTTTTTCTTTTGACCCTTGACTTCCCCAGAAGGGAGAAGTCCAGTGGCTTTCAAAGCTATGTAAGCAACTGTCTTCTAGTGAAGTTCAGCAGAGGTCTAATATATAAAATGGATAAAATAATAAAAAGCAGCATCTGTTTTATATGCTTCCATTGTGCTGGCTGGATACTGTGTTATGAGGTCTATCTGTATCAATCTCTTAAACTTCACAACCATACTTAAGGTAGAAACTCTTATTTCCATTTTACCAGTGGAAAAAACAGGCATAGGGTGTAGTTGATGTATTATATTAAAGATTGTGAGGAAGGAGGATGGGTACATTCCTGTTCAGTCTCATCTTCACTTCTGTCCATTCCTAGGAAACAAAGTCCTCTTGTAGGCAGAGGTCACACACTCAGGTACCCTTTCAGTAAGTAATGAAAACAGAAAGATGGGGCTGCAGTAAAGTGGGGAATGTGTGGGTCAGCTAAAGAGGCCACTTAGTTTTGGGTAATCATTGCCAGACTCTGTGAAGATCAAAACATAAAAAAACATGACTGGCAGAGGACTCAGTTGTTGGCCGCCAACTAAGACCTCTGGAGGAATGGTGAGGAGTCTGAGGCCAACCCACAAAGGTGCCATTAAGAGGTAAGATGCCCACCGAAGAAGGAATAATGGAGATAAAACAAGCCCATGGGTCTTTTGAGACACAGGCATGTTTTGATGGCTCTACATTATACCAAATACATAAAAACCATTACTTCTCACTGTTTATCCACTGGCCTGGTTTATTTTTAAGTAAGCCCTTCCCCTGCTTGGTTCTATCTACTCTTCACCATGTGTTTGCCAGTATTGGCCAAGTATCTAGTCTCACACCTCCTCTCCCACACACCCTCCCCCACCCCCGGCTGTCTTCTTATTTAAAGAAAAACAAAATTATAATGGTGAATAATGAGACAATCTAAATTATACAGCAGGCAAAGTGAGTCCTGGAGGAAGCTCCTTAGAAAGATTTTATTCCATTGCCACTTAGGAATATTGGTCCTCATCAACACTCAAATGCAAAATAATTGCATCTATGGTACAGATGTCTCCAGTGCATGCTCATGAGGCCTGAATATATATATATATATATATATATATATATATATATATATATATATATATATATATATATCTCCCCGTAAAAACAGTGTGTACAAATTTACCCATGGTCATCACATTCTTAGCCATGCCTCCCTGCATACTGTAGGAACTTGGTAATCTATAACGGGCTGCCTTCTGGAGAAAGAGTTCATGGACATTATACCACTGTAAAAGGAAATATGGTCAGTGCTTATTTATCAGTAAGTTGGAGGAGATTTGTGACACAAATACTTTAGAATGTACTTGAAAAAACATTACACACAAAGTCTGGAGAAGAATAAATGTGGGAATTGATCTAGATTGGTGGTTTTAAAATTTTTCTCCCCTTCCTTCTTCCTTTGTCTTAGTTTCAGAATCCTGTTACAAAAGAAATATTATTCACAAGTCCAATATTTAAAATAGCCAAAAATAGAGCTATTCTGATTCCTTGTGTTGGGCTGGAACCTCACTAATAATGCTCACCCTAATACTTTTGACATAAATTAAGAGGCAGCCCTGAGCACCCTCATTTTTGAACCACCAGAAACAATTTTACATTTCCATCAGAACTAAATTATTTCCAAGCTCTTTCTCAGAACCAAGAAAAAGAGCTTTTCTCTTAAAGATGAAGGTACCAATGGTCAGGTGACTTGCTTAGGGTCACAAAGAGCATGCTAGTGCGCACTCATACATAGTCCATTGATCCTTCTCCATTCAGAAGAAGTACAGGATGGTGGTCTGAATCTCAACTCACCTAACTGCTAGCTGTTTAACCCTGGCAAGATATTCAGCATTCCTCAATCACAAAAGGAGAAATCATAAGAGCCTCACTTTATGCTTCTGTGAGGATTCAATGAGATAAATGCAAATAGAGAACTCAAAATCTTTCTTGGCAAATGGTAGGTGGTCAATATATGTTAGTTGTACCATGTTGCCTCCCCCCATCCTTTCAGCTACAGAACATCACATTTGTGATTATGCCTATTAATCTTGACAGAGCACATCAGCCAAATAAAAGACAGAACTGGCAGGATGCATCCAAATAAGCCACAGCATGCAACAGACGGTTGATGGTAAGGCATAATTGAAGCACTGAGTACAAAGAAGTCTGCAAATAATTCCTAACCCTTGAATTTTTTTTAGCATTTTGCTTTTATCAAGAAAAATATGACACTGAGCAAAGAGACTGAAAAGAGCTGACTGACCTGGGGGAGATGTCACATCCTTGCTGCATGAAGGCTCCCAGGGAGAACCACAAGCTGTTGAATATTCCAAACTCATTGGATTGATCACTGGTTGTCTGGTCTCGCCCTTCCTCAAACTCTTCACTGTGCCATTCGTAGGGGCTGAAGCGGCTGACCAGGAAAAGGACGACACTAACTCCAATGTAGGCAAACACAATGCACATCCAAATTTCATAAGCCAAAGGATCGAGGAAGGAGAAAACCCCCGGCTTGGACTTCTGTGGCTTTTTTATCATGATGGAGATCCCCAAACTCATAAATGGCTTGGAGAAGTCTATCACTTCTTCCCGGACCAAGGTGATAGTTAAAGGGGCCACGGCCACATCTGCTCTCTGAAAAAAGAAAAACAAAACAAAAATAACACACACACACACACACACACACACATACACACACACACACACACACAACAAAAACAAAAACAAAAACAAAAAAAAAGGAAGAAAAGAAAAAAAATGCAGTTGAGCTTAGCAGCACTCTGTTCTTTTGATTCTTTCTTCACTGTGAATATTCTTTTGGGTCTTAAAGGATATGCGGTAGAAAGAACCTTAGAAGTCCAACCCCTCCCTTTCTCTATAAAATATTTCTGACAGATGGATGATCAGCTCAATGTCTTACGGGAGAGGTTATCCTATCGTTTGACAGTTCTAATGGTTAGGACATCTTCCTAGCCTGCTAGAAGGGGATGTTATGATACCTATTGTTTTCCCTGTCTGGCAGCCAATCCTCCTTCCGGTGCTAGAAGAACCATTCCTGCCCCACGTGCAGTCTTTCTGGTTCACGTGTGGCTGATCACACAGTTATATCGTGAAGCACACAACATGGGTTTGACCATATCCCCTGGCCAGAATGACTCATTTAAGGATGGCATAGGACCTACGGCAGTTTAGTGAGCATTAGCTCTGAGAGTCAGAGTGAGGGATGCAGAAGCTGATTCATGATGAAATAAGTTACCCTGAATTCAGGGGCCATGCTGGACTCCCTGGTACCATGTGCCAATATATTCTCCTATTTGTCCCTGAGAACATGAACCAGTCTTTCTGTTTGCCTAGTAAAGTTTGAGTTGGGTTTCTTTTATCTGCAATAAGATAGTCATGGCTAATAAGGTGATGAAGAAAATTTAATTCAATAAACATTAATTTGAAAGCCTTAGGCTGTAAGCTGTAAGCAGGCTATGGTCCCTACATTCAAGGAATTATAAACTAGTGGGAGAAACACACACACACAGACATGTACACCTTTCAGTCTACAAAATAGACTGGGTATGTTCTATCCAAGAAATACAAAATGCTGCGGGAGACCAGGGAGGGTTAATTCTGGCTGGGGAGACCAGGGGCTTTATTGCCAAGGAGGTGACATATAAATTTGGCACAGAAGATGTGACATATAAATTTGGCACTGAAGGAGGAGTAGAATTTTGACAGAGTAGGATTCTGGCACAGAACACATTTGAGGAGGAGGGAATTATGTGAGTAAAGGCCTGCCAAAGGGAAGGAAAAGTCTCAACACTACTATTTCTTCCCAGGAAGACTGCTAAGAAATACACAAATAATTCACTTTTTAAAATGTAAATTCAGCATGTAGATAAACGGAGCGTTTCAAGCAATGCTTGTCCTGAGGCATCTTGCACATGGACCCATCAGCCTTACTCTTCTGCCTTTCCTACCTCTCCCGAATGGCAGCAGCCTTGGCATCTGGGCAATAAAATCCAATGAGATGAAGTAACCCTGGAAACCCAAAAGCTTCTGTGGACAGATGCACAGCATTCACTTTTGAAAGTCTGGTTGAGATGTAGAGCTTTCTCTGTTGATGCTGTGCAACAATCCAGATGTCAAGCCGTTGACAGATGCCAGGAGATAAGGACCCTTTTTAGCTACTGGCTGATATGGTGTAGAGATTTCCTCTGGTTACTCTCATTGGCTTGGACGGTTAAGAAGATGCTTTAAGTGGAATAAAATGTCTGGCTTCAGAATGACTTAGGTTCTCACTTATAAAAAGAAACTTCTTGTAAAGCACTTGTGGAGCCAGGCATGAATTTTATAATAATTCTAGTTTCTTATTCTAAACACCCATTGTATACATCTTTATAATTTTTACAAACACATCTAAGTCTATACAAAAGAGAAGATATCTATTCTTTCTTCTATTACCTGTGATTATTGGAAAAGGAATGGGAGAGAAAAGTAATGGAAATGAGGGACTGAGCACAAGTTACCCAAAGGGAGGTGGAAGACTACCAGCTTTGAAAGTGGTAAGAGGATTTGAATGGATTTGTTGGATGCCCCCTGGTGTGAGTTAATAGAATGGACTGTGGACTGGAATAATCACAGAACCACATCATCTTAGTTCACTGATCATTTTCAAGATTTGTTTCATGGGACATTATTTCCGGGAAGATGCTAATAAGTATAAAATGAAAATAAATGTTGGGGAAATACAAATTTAAACACATTACTCTGGAGCAGCTCTTCCCAGAACATTTAAAAAACCACCATGCACCTAGAATTTCCAGGAGGAAGAAATAGAGCATTTCTAAAATTAATTGCCTGTGGATCTGTGGGCATCAATAGGGACCTATGTGTGTAGGACAAACACATAGCAGGAGATACTTAATTCACTGACTTCATTTTATAGATAAGAAACTCAGGTGCAGAGAGGGAAGGTGGTTTGTGTAAAGCAGCAATGTTTTAGCTTCTTTCCCATTGACTGAGAGGTTGGGGTGTTACTGGAGCTTCACAGGACTGGTCAAGGGCAGAACTGGGCTAAGATGTTGACCTGGTGGCTCTGCTCTGCAACTCACTGACACAGTGAGACAGTTGTTTTTCTGCTATCAATTTCCTCATTAAAAAAAGACATAACATAATTTTTGTTTTGCCTATTTGATGGTTTATTTTTTGTTGTTGAGGTTTCACTCTAAAATATAAGAGTACTGGGAAATGTGAGCTTTTTTGCAGGTGCTTAAAATTATTTACTTAATCTGACATTTTAGGACAGTGGCTCTGAAACTTGAGCAGGCTTCAGAATCACCTGGAGGGCTTTTAAAAATACAGGAGGCAGAGTTTCTAGATTCAGTGAGTCTGGGGGAGACGTGAGAATATGCATGCTGATGCTGCTGGTCAAGCCCTAGCTCTTTGAGAACCACGGACCTAGGATATCCCAAAACAAAATATGTGGTGTCAAAACAATCCTGCGGAAATAGTAGACAGCTTTGATGCAATAAATAAAAGCAAAAAGGGAAGAAAAACAGTCAGGGATGGAGAACTATTGTGAGCCAGGCACTACGGAGGTGAATATTCCCCACCCCAGCCCTGGGATGAAGGGTTAACTCTCTATGTGTTTCAGAGGAGTTCAGTGGCTTACAGGAGTCATGTAGTCAGTAAGTTGGCAGAGGTGGAACTCAAGCCCAGGTGTCTATCTGCAGAGTTCACCCTCTTTCTGCTTCTCTCAAAGGACAGGCAAGAAGGTGATCTGTGAATCAGGCACAGAGCCCTGCCCATGTAAGAAGAGGAAGCTTTATTTGCCACTCTGGCACCTGAAAATGCAGAAGCTCTGACTCTTCTTACCACCTTATAGTCCAGACCTTGAGTGGTGTGATTTCTATTGAGGTAGTATATCTCAGCATGGGGTACAAAGGCCAAGCTTGCTGTATGTTCCAAGTTGGCTTTACTAGTTATATGTCCTTTACCAAATTACCCAACCTCCCTGGTCCTCGTGTCCTTATCTATAAAACGTGGAAAATAATCATATCCACTTTCTAGGGTTGTTTTGACAAGTACATGAAATAACGTAAATGCGTTAATTTAGTTTCCTGATGAAATGTTATTGCTATGTTAGTTGATAAGAACTAGAGAGAGCAAAAGGAAGATGAGACCCTGATAAACTTAGGTATTAAAAATACATTTGGAGGTTTGCAATTTATCTTTTTCTGACCTCACTGGTTCTTTGTGGCTGAGAGATACTGCCCCAAATTCTTCTATTCTTTTTCAGGGAACAGAATAGAAAAGCCCAATGAAAAGGGAAAGAATGCAGTTGGACCCATCTCAGAGAATTTAGAAAACAGTTTGTACTAGGTAGAGGACAGGCCAGGTAGAGGGGAGGGCTGGGGAAGGCTGGTGGCTGAGGCACCCAGAGGTAATTCTGCTCTGTGCTGATGAGCCAGTGACTCATCACTAATTGCTTGGCTACAGTGGGGGCTTGCCCTCAGGATGATCACACCATTGTTCTGCCCTATCACAGGCCTTTTATTAAGGGAAGATGGGGTGAAGATGAAGATGAATGTTGGTGAAGGTGAAAAGTTCACAGTAGTTTCCATGGGGATGACCTTACAGGGTTGGTGGAAGTTCCCATGGAAACCAGCATCAAGATGCAGTATTAACCCACCCAGATCTCTATCTTTCATCAATGGAGCTTCCCAAATTGAGAGGCTATGGAGAGGGAGGAGAAAGGGTTGAAGTACCTTTCAATTCATTAACTATCTCTCCAGGTCATCTCAAAATCTTCCTGGGAAAGACTTTCATTTGCCTGTTTCTTTGTTCTTTGAATTCCCTTTGTATGGCTCTCATGGCCATCATGACTCCTATTGCCTTATATGAGACAATAAGATTTTAAAAGCTCGTAAGTGATTTTAAAAACTTTATCCTGAGAAGAACTCAATATCAACCTGGGACTCAGAATATGCTTCAGGTCAGAGACCCAGTCTGCATTCTTCCATTTCTGTGTGTGGCAGCTGGATTCTTCTTACATCGACGTTTGTTATTTAACTAAAGTGCCTTCATAATCTCTCAGTGCCCACAGAATTAATCCACACTCTTCCCCTTGTCATTTCTTACTCTATCCCTGACTACTCCTCATCCAAGCCCCTTACAAAAATCACCAGTGTTTTCTCACTCTTCTCTCATACCTTATTTCCATCCCCATTTTATTGTTTATACTTTATAATTCCTGGGCTGCTTTTCTCTCTATTTGAATATAGCCTCTTTTCAAGTTCTGTATCCTCCTTGAGAGCCTCTTGCCTGAAAGTTGATACTGAGCCATCTTTTACTATTCTTTCATTGTCTTTTCTACACTGTAAAATGTTAACATCATTGGTGACAGGGGTCAGATCTTTTACTTCTCAATGATTCCCTAAATATTTAAAAACAATTCACATTCAGGAGCTTTTTAAACTGCTTAAATTTGTGGAACATTTTGTGGAAATTGTTCAAGGCATTATTTTAAGTATAATCCTGTATAATAAAAGACTAATATGCAAATTGACTGAAATGCAGAATGACCACTTGCTATGATGCACACTGACCACAAGGGGGCAGATGCTCAAAGCGGGAGCTGCCTCTAGTGGTCAGTGTGCTCCCACAGGGGGAGCACCACCCAGCCAGAAGCCCTGAGCCCGGCTCATGGCTGGTGAGCACAGCAATGGTGGTGTGAGCTTCTCTCACCTCTGCTGCAGCACTAAGGATGCCCGACTGCTGGCTTAGGTCCGCTTAAGCCAGCAGTTGGACATCCCCTGAGGACTCACAGATTGCGAGCGGGTGCAGGCTGGGCTGAGTGACCCCTACTCCTCGAGTGAATGAATTTCATGCATTGGGTCTCTAATGAAAGATATAAAAATGAAGTAGACCTACTCCACAGATAACTGTTATACAAGTCAGTGTCAGCTATAACAGAAGCAGAAATTAAATTCTACAGGAGAAGGCAGTAATAGTTAAGAAGGAGAGTTTGTATCTGTTATGGGGAGAAAAAAGGAAACCTTGGAAAAAAGTGATATTTGATACAGGCTTTGGAGAAGGGGTAAGCTTTTAGAGGTGTGGAATTGGAGAGAACACTGTAGAGAACATAGTGACTGTGAGGTGCTTTGGCTGAAATGGAAGGTTTAGGAAAAGGGAGTATTGGGGCAAATGATGAGGAAGTTAGATATGAGTTCATCTAACACCAGGCAAGAAAGTTATCTTGAGGGAACCATAAGTGACTTTGAGCCATACATGACTTTGTATTGAAGGAGCCATAAATAAAGTGACAAAAAAATCCTGGTCATAAGATTGAGTTGAGTTTGACTGCAAGAACATGGACCAGAAACCTGAACAAAGAATGTCTTATGACACTGGATTTTGGACTCCCCATCTTTTAAACAGCAACAATGCAAAATGCAAAATTATGGAGTCTAATAGTCATCTGTGGTATGGCCACCCACCCACCAAATTATTTCCTTTCAAATCTTTTACCTCTGCTCTGAAATTTCCCACCCTCTGGAGAACTTACTCCATAGACCAGCTCTCCCACCATGCCATTCCAAGCCTTTGTGTCAGGGTCACGGGCTCCGTATTTTCCATCACTGACAATCTCAAGACGGTAGGAGTAGCCCACATGCTTGGCAATCTCTGCTGCCAGTTCCACACAATAGCCCTCATAGCGGTCATTTCCCTCAAACTGGTTTGCATTCTTCTTGAGCATCACATAAGGATCTTCCTGGTGGAGAAATGGGGAGATGGAGAATGTGGGTTATGCAATCACTGATGGTTAGGGAAGATTTCCAAGTAGCAGGGGAGGGTTAACTTTGGGTACGTCTCTCTAGCTTCTAAATCTACTCCTTGCATTTCTGCTCCCCCATCAGAAAACTTCTTGGGTTAAGGAAACAAATGGTTAAAATAAGAATGTTTCACCTTTGAGATGTGGTACACAGCTTTTCAAATTCTGTTCCAAAAATTCTTACAGTTTTTGGAGGTACCTCTTGGGGCACTGTAATTGGGATGTGGACTCTAACTAGGCTCAAGATCAATCATTGAAAATCATTGCAGCTTTACTTATATCCCCTGTAGGAGCTGGACCTTGGAAGACTTTCTTTAAAAATGGCTTTTACTAGGATAGGGTGGAGTCTGAGTAAGTTTTATTTATGGGGGAACTATGGCTCAAAGGAGGCTAAGTGACTTATCCAAGGGCATAAAGTGAAATCATGGCAGAGTCAGAGTGAAAAATGTATCTCTGACTTCCAGGAAAATTTTTTTTATTCACTCCCTCTTTTTACCTATGACACAGTTTTGGCAATAATGACCAGCTTGCACTCCTAGGGAAATCCTTTGTACAGGTGTAGCTTGCATTCCGGATAGGACAGCCTTGATAAAGGAGTGATAAAGGAGTGAGTACTCACTAGGATTGTAGTGACGATGTATGTCCTATTCTGGACACTTGAATTATCTCCCCTGGCTTGAGCATCAGTGGCCGCAGGGACAAACTTGTCATCTTCATTCCAGTAACCAATCTGTTAATGAAAGCAGGTGGTGACATAAGTTGAGCCAGGATCCTTAGAACTGGCATACTCTGATAACAGACAGGAAAGTAAGGAGCTCTATGTCACACCATGCAGTAATGGACACACCAGACTCTAAAGTATCCTATGTAATAAACAGCTAATATGCTCATTAGACTGGACAGCAGAATGACCTTCCAGAAAGACCTTCCGGAATGATCAGTGGGTGGGGGGTGGGGCCGCAGGGCCACAGGATCGCAAGGCAGCTGGGGCTGCGAAGACCTACTCTTTCATGAATTTCATGCTCCGGGTCTCTAGTTGGTAAATAAAAGTAAGATTCTAGATGCTGTTCAGGTTCTTCCAGCCTCACCTCCATGAAAACCCTCACCATAATAGGCTAAGCTTGGAAACTTCCCTCTTTGAGGGGTTAGGGTTTAAGTGTTTGCACAGCTAAACTGTTTTGTATAGTATAAGCCAGGGCTTAATTCCCTGTAGTTGTTCACAAGGCCAAACACCTCTGTTCCCTACTCCTATTAACCCTTCTCTGCCTGAGCCCATTCTGAATTGTAGTTGGAATCATATGATTAAGCATTGCATTCCTTTTACTTTCTTTTTAGGTTAACTGTATTTTTTTCATATAGATTCAACCTCTTGGGTGATGACTAATTTATCCTTTATTTATCTTATTTCCAATGATAAACTATTATAACACTGAGCATATAGCAATGCCTAAAAATGTCAAGTAACAATATTTTTTTAAAAATCAGTAAGTTATTTATACTGATTCATTTTCCAAGGTATTTTACAAAATTTTTATCAGGTTCCTACTATGTGCAAGGCTCTGATATTATATGGTGGGGCTGAGAGAAATATAAAGAAGTCTACGAAATGATTCTTATTCTGACAATTCCTTCAGTCTACTTTGGAAGACTTGACACACACATACTTGGAGCTCCAGAAGTAACAAGTGAGTGGTTCAGAGAGCCAGGGCCTAAGAAGCTCAGAGAAGCAGAAACCTAGTGTGGGAACTTATGCTGGGCAAAAGGCAGCAGGAGGAGGTAGACCTTAAGGTCATGAGGAATGAATAACTAAACAGGGTGTTCTTTATTCTGAAGGCAGTAGGGAATCATAGAAGGCTTGAGAAGACCGAAATGGCATGGTTTATAAACACACACACACACACACACACACACACACACACACACACACACACAACATCTAAGAATAATAATTGCCAACATTGACTATATTGCTACATCAGAAGCTGGGAAGTGACTGAGCTTGGTCTGGAACCTTGGCAATCTGTTCCCAGAGGTAGCTTTTCACCATTATGCTGTTCTTGCTAAGAGAGGACTTAGTCCTGGGCTGGAAATCATTAGTTAACTTTTATCAAATGCTTATTTTCAGGCACTCTTCTAAGTGCTTTTAATGTTTTAACTCCTTTCATCCTCACAAAAACCTTTGAAGTGGATAATTGTCATTCTCATTTTAAATGTGAAAAAGCTGAGATGTGGAGAAGTGAAGTAACTTCCAAGACCACAGGCGAGTCATGGAGCTAGAATCTAGGCCAAGAAGGCTAAGAATAAGGCCAGGCCCTACCCAGCACCAATAAGCTTCCAGACAACACCTGAATGCCTGGTATAGATTCCCATTGGCCCTGTGGTGTAGGTCTTTGCAGGTCAGTTCCCATTTCTCCATGATGATGCAGGCTCCCATGGACGAGGCTGGAGGTCTAGTCATTCTAGAAGATCCTTCTTAGCATGCATATTCTTTTCCAGAGAAGCAGCACAGGAAATGTTTATTGAATGAATAAGTGTATCCAACATGGAAACTGTTGAGCATACAGGTGCTGAGACACTTCAAGGCCTGAAGGAGGAGTACATCTCTCAGAGTACTAGGTCAAGATTGACCCTCAGTGTAGGATGAAGGCAGTGTTATCTGTGTAAAGCACTTTTAGTCAGCATGGAAGGAGACATTTCTCTCTAGGGACAAGAATCAGAAACTTATATTTCCAGAATATTGAGCTCGAAGAGAAGCCTGAACAATCATTTCTTTCAACCTCTTCCTTTAACAGAAAGGAAAACAGAGGCTCAGAGACCAGGGGACTCGCTGAAGACCACAGTGCAGTTTTGCCTCTCTCCCTTTGCTTGGCTGGTTGTCAATGGAACCCTAGGGCATCTGTGGAGCCTCTCACCACCTTCATGGGAGGAGGGTGGCAGGCCAAGGATGAGGAGGAAGCTCAGCAACTAATTCCTCTAAAATCTTCAGTGTATTAATTGGTGTTATTTTAAAAAGTGGGAGTTTGATGGCTAAGAGATTGATCTTTGGTATCAGATAAATCTGGTTTAACAGGCAGATTTCTCTAATTACTACCTGTATGACAATGGACCAGTTGCTTGACCTCAATTGGCCTCCTTTACTGCTTTGTAGAATGGTTACAACAATAATTCCTGTCTCATGGGGCTGCTGTGAGGACTCAGTGAATGTACAACAATGAGCCTAGTGTGTCTTTCATATTGTTGTCAGGAGACTAAAAAGTAAAATTCTATTCAGGAGGGTAATGCCTGATTGAAGACTAACAGGCTTCTATATTGCAAGATTTTTCAGTTTCAATTTGCTACTGAACATTATCAATCATCACAAGGTGTATATATTGTGGAGCATTTTTCAAACATATTTGACAATGTAACCCTCTTTACATGCAAAATGTCCAAGGATAATTGATTCTCAAACCACAAAACACTGTTCTAAAATATCAAGTAATTTGGATAAAAGACAGGAAAAAACAAAACAAGTTAAATCTGCACAGATAAGATTTGCATGGCTTGGAAAGAGACTTTAATTTTTAAGGATACTAGTCCTTACCTAGAGGGTATGATGCTAAGTGAAATAAGTCACTGAGAGAAAGATAAATACCATATGATTTCACTTACATGTGGAATATAAAGAATAAGATAAATGAACAACAAAACAGAAACAGATTCATAGTTATAGAGAACAGAGTGATGATTGCTAGAGGGGATAGGGTAAAAAAGATGAAGGGAGTAAAATGTTCAGATTGATAGTTATAAATAGTCATTGGGGGATATAAAGTACAGCATAGGAAATACAGTCAATAATTTTGTGATAACTATGTATGGTGCCAGATGAGTACTGGAAATATTGGGGGGGAACACTTTGTAATATATATGATGTCTAATTACTATGCTATACACCTAAAATTAATAAAAATAATATTGTAAACCATAATGGAAATTTTTTAAAAAGTAGTTTTAATGAAAAAAAAAGACAGTGATCCTTTAAAGCTGCTATCACAGCGCTATTGTTAAATTTGAATCTATAAAATTATTGTATAGCTTGGCCTATATATAGATCCTTTGATATCAAGAGCTAAAGGAATAGTTAAATGTTATGAGCAAGCTTATTTTATTCCTAACCTTCTTATAGTGAAATAAAACAATATTACCAGTCAGAAGAGCAGGGTGCTGCCAAGACCCAGCTTGTACTTCATGTAATCTAGCAGGGTGAGAAATCTGGTTCCACAGTTTGATTTAAAAAAAAAAAAAGCTGGCAATGATTTTTGAAGAGACATTGCACTTCAGAGATGAGAGAGCAAATTTCCCTTTCTTAGAGAAATGGGTTGGATCATTAGATAGCACTTTGATTCTCTACTAAGGATATGTAGGAACTTTGATTTTTCTCTGAGTGTAAATTAGAGTCAGTAGTTTGGTAAAGATTGGGGCCCACTGTTCAGGAGAGGATTTAAATAATTCTGACAGTGAGAGGTCTTCAGGGGCCAGTTATAACATTTGATCTTCTGTTTTCCATCTACCTCTAAAGATTCTTTGAATGTAGGACATGAGTTTAGATGATAGATTTTTTTTTAACGGAATGAAGTCTAAAAAAGGAGATTATCATAGAACAGTTAAATTCAATTGATCTACCTTGCACAGTCATTAAATCAAATTTACACATTTGTATCTTTAGGCTGCCTTTGAAGCCACAACCCCTGAAGCCCCAAAGTAAGTCCATTATAATACATTTTTAAAGAGTAAGTGGCCTATTGTGGCAAAGACAACTAAGAGTCCATCAAGATTCTTATTCTCCTATTAAGACATAGAAGTATTGGTGAAAGTGGCTACGTAGCCAGCAATTTCATTTCCCAACCTGCCTTACATTGAGGTGGGCCAGGTGATTGGGTTCTAGCCAATGGAATGCAGCAGAAGTGATGCACAGCTCTCCTAGCCTGCCTCCACTAAAGCTGTAGCACAGTTTCCACTTTCTCTCTTTCCTGTCTGCTGACTAGATGTTGATAGCCAGAAAAACCCAAGTAGACAGTGGAGCCTACCTAAGCCTGAGTCTTAACATGTTAAGCACCCATTCAGTCACTAGTGACTGACACTATACTTTCTTTTTTCTTTTTCTTTTTCTACCTAAGCCTGAGTCTTAACATGTTAAGCACCCATTCAGTCACTAGTGACTGACACTATACATTCTTTTTTCTTTTTCTTTTAAAAAAATATATTTTATTGAGTTTTTACAGAGAGGAAGGGAGAGGAATAGAGAGCTAGAAACATCGATGAGAGAGAAACATCGACTAGCTGCCTCTTGCACACCCCCTACTGGGGATGAGCCTGCAACCAACGTACATGCCCCTGACCAGAATCGAACCTGGGACCTTTCAGTCCGAAGGCCGATGCTCTATCACTGAGCCAAACCGGTTTCGGCTGACACTATACTTTCTGTCTGGAAGACAAAACAGGCTGGGCACTTAATGTTTTAACCCAAAAACTAGTCACTAGGTGAACAAGAATTAAGCTTTTACTGCATTCAACTCCTGAGATTTCAGAGTATATCTACTAAATCTAGGGTTATTTTAACTACACACTTAAAAAATTTAAACTTAATGTGTTTAAGTATGAACTTGAGTTCTGCTTGAGGTGTTCTTTCATTGAATTTCCCAACATTTTTGTTTCTCCTCATTTTCTGCCAGATCTATAAAAATATGGGCCAGAGTATTATGCTCCCTCGTTTCCCAGCAATATTCAATAAACTGCCCACTCATCTAATAAACAACCACTTTTTTGCATGTGCTTACTGTGGATGGATGGAGATATATATATATATATATATATATATATATATATATATAGCCAGTGGCTATAATGCCTAATGACCAGAACGACCAGTTACTATGATACCAGTTACTATGATGCTCACTGCAGACAGCGAACCGGCCCGATGGTGGGGGGGAGGGGGAAGCAGCTGGCCAACCCCCCTGCCAACTCTCCCCCCAGTCAGCCCTGCCCCTGATTACCCTCTCCTACCCCAATAGGGAGTGGGGCTGGCTGGCCAACCTCCAGCCCCTTCCCCAGGTGGCCTGACCCTGATTGGCCCCAATAGGGGCTGGGCCAGCTGGCAAACCTCCCACCATTTCCTCCCAACAGGACCACCCCATCCACCTCGATTGGGGCCAGGCCAGACAAACGAATTCATGCACTGGGCCTCTAATAGTAAATAACACACATATGGTCCCTGATTTTAGACATTTTAGTCTTGCAGCTCTTTCTTTTGAATGTTTTAGTATTGAGGAGGTGGGAAAGTGGGGAGGAAAGAGAATATATATCTAGATCAGGGGTCTGCACATCTGTAAAGATCCAGTCAGTAAATACTGTAGGCTTGATGGGTCATCCCATCTCTGCTGCACCTCCTCATCTCTGCTGGTATGATACAGAAGCAGCCAGAGACAAAATGTAAACAAACAAGTGTGACTGTGATACAAAAATACTTTATTTATGGACATTAATATTTTAATTTTATATAATTTTCATGTCACGAAGTAGTGTTCTTTTGATTTAGTTCATTTAAAAATGTAAGAGCATTAGCTCACGGACTGTACAAAAACAGGCAGTAGGCTGGATTTTGCCTACAGGCTGAAGTTTGCCAACCCAGATCTAGATCAATGAACCAACAGGAATACATCAGAAGAAATAAGTACTCTGAAAAAATAAAATGGAATAATTACTGGGTGGGTTGGGGCTTCTTTAGATAGCACGGTCAGGGATGGGCTCTGCAATGTGACTTCACTTGAGCCAAGATCTAAAGAACCAGGAGAGAGACAACATATGGAAATGCAGTGATTAGGAATGCCAGGTATAGAAACAGAAAGATGCCAGGATAGTTGTGGAGCACTGAGTTAGAGAAAAAGGGTCAAGAACTGACTTTTATAGGGAAGAAGCGTCTAGGGTTCTGAAGGCCATGGTAAGGTGTTATATTTTACCTGTAATAGGAAGCTGCTGAAAAGTTAGAAGCAGGGGAACAATATAACCTGATATATACTTGAAAATTATTCCAGCTCTTATGATGGAAAAAAAATTAGATTCTCTTATAGAGGGGGAGGAACATACTAGTAGACAGCATGACTGGTTGCTGGGAAGGAGATTCTGAATAGGTCCAGGCAGGTGTGGAAGTGGTGTAGGCTCTGGGGTCAGCAGTGGTAATGGAGAAAAGTAATAGGATTGAAGCTCTGTCTTAGAGTGATAACAGGATGTGGTATGTCTAATGTTGGGTAGTGAAGCTTATAGCAAAATGTCCAGAGGATATATGGAATAAAGGGTTGGGAATTCTTTGGAACATTAAATTCTCTTTACATCAGTAGGGCTTCATGTCACTTTAGCCTTCTTTCTTTCCCATTTATACACAGGATCAGAAATAGGAATAATAAACTTGGGGCAGGGCAGAAGTACTCATATCAAGTTGAAATGAGAAGTAGATGCCTGTGATCAGGTCTAAAAAGAGCTCCAGGACTATGGGTGATGGGCAAGGACAGTGAAATCAACAATGCTGGACCCTTGATGAAAGGCCTTGGAGCATTTTCTCTACACTTCTTTCTTAGCAGTCATTTATTAGAATCTATCATCTTACCTGGATTTACAAGGTATTTTGTTTGGATAGAGATCCCTACACATTAGTATCCCACAGTGAAATTAAATCTCTGAATGGGATTTCCTGAGGGTTAGCTTGTGTAGAGCCAGTGCCAGATCTAGCATTTAAAGCTCCTAAGCTTCTGATGGATGGAGCTTAGAGCGCACAGATGTCAGTGGGATGTTAAATTGGACCCAGAACCTAGAAGGTATGTTGGCACATCAGTGGGCAGGATACACCTGAATATCAGGAGTGTTCCCATGGCCCCGAGTCAAGTAGCAGCTCCTCTTTATTACTTCCATCAGCTATGGCCGTGTCATGTTCACCAAAGCCATTCTAGGTCACCCTTGAATCTGAGAAATTACTTTGCTAGGAGGCTGATTGAGGAAAAGGCCTAAAGCCACAGATGTGGAAAAATAGATTTTCTGAAATTCAGATCTCCTGTAAACAAAGGATGCTTAAGCTCACATTCTAAGGAAGGATTTAATCATTGGAAAGTAAGTTGAAAAACAGGCTCAGGGCCAGAAAAATAAAACACAACTATTTGCTTGTGGAATTTAAGTTAAACTTTTTTTTTCTGTTTGCTGATTTATCCATTTTATGAGCTTACAAGCTTGATTCATGCAAATTCAAGACTGAAAAAAAAATCCTTGTGGCTTAAAGAATGGAGTTGAAAACAGACAGACAAACAAAGAAGCAAACAAACAACATGGGCTGAATGTCCATTACACTTCAGGTGCTACTTTTAAGAATCCCTCACCACAGACACTAGAGATAGCAGGCATTGTTTCATTTAAACTAAGAGTAACTCTGTGAGGGAAGAGGTATCATCTCCCCTTTGGAGATGATATCATTGAGGTTCAGGGAGGCTAAATAACTTGTTTAGGGTCACATGGCTGTTAAAGAATAAAGCAGAGATTTAAATCCTGGCCTGTGCACAGGGGCATGTATGAAAGTGGAAAAGAACATGATGTATTCAGGGAAGTGAAAGTTGATCAGAATGACAAGTAGAAAGAAGAAGCTATATATATATATTATTTTCAAGGTACTTGACGATCTCTTGGATCTTCACTAGAACCCAGAGACAAGGCCTAGATTTGTATCTTCATTTTGCAGACGAGAGAATCTATTATCTGAAAGAGGAACTGACCTGACCAGATTCCCAGTGGCATAGCTGAGTCTAGAATTCTCATTTCCTGTGTCTCTCCAGGTGGGCTCACTAAGCCCTCAACTCTTGCCTGAGCCTCTGAGGCAAAGGGATTTTTACCTTACGGATGCCATCATGCTTCATTTCAATCACATGGAGAGTATAGTTGGTCCGGCGTCCTTTCTCATTAAACTGCACGTTTCCTGTCAGGCCTTCAAACCGCACCTGGAAAACAAAGTCAAATGGCAATCAATGAACTCACAAGGTGTACTTCATCTCTGTTGGCTTTTCCTGCTGAAGTTAAAATTCAGAACCCCAGAATGTTACACAGGATAAGATCCTGGAGTAGCACCAATACATCTAGTTAATGGCAACACTCTACTCCCTTGCCCATAGCAGGTATCACTACTAGAGCACAATTCTCTTTCCTGCTAAACTGAGATTCATTCTGAAAACATTTTTATTTTCTATTGTTTTAGGCTAACACTAGTAATCTCCGAGCCATCTCCAATCAAACACCCCCACCAAGAGCACCACCCTTCCTCAGACACACACCCTGAAGATGAAGAACCTGAAGGAGGCCAGCTAAAAAAAGGGGGTGGTATGCTAACCCTGGAAGTCAGGAGAAGACTTAGACTAGAAGTCAGCCTTATGGTGCCTTGGGCTATGCTTAGATATAGTTTCTGAATTCTTTGTGAGTCCAGGGAATAAAATACTTGGACATCTAAAGACCTGGAATTGGGAGACCTTTTCCCCCAGCTTTCCTCTGAACAGTTGAGTGACCTTGGGCAATTCACCACTCTAAGCCTCCAGTTTCTAAAATTCCTCCCCCCATGTACCTTAAATGATACAGCAAGTGAAAGTGTTATGAAAAGTTAAAAGCACCTGAGAAAACTCTTTATGTTAAGAAGAGAGCAAACAAAGCTTTTAGCAAGTCTCAGTTGGTTAAAACAAAATTTGTATTGGAACCTTAAAGAATGCTGCATGGGATTTCTTCTCCACAAAGGAGTCAGATTAAATGTTCATGGCCTCTTCAAGGTCAAATTGAAGGTCCAGTGGTCAATAGGATCATCCAAAGGCATTTTGGGCCAAGTCTGCTGTTCTGGAGGTAACCCATAAATCTCACCCAAGTACACCCTCAGACTGAGGGTGAGTCTAACTGCATATCATTGGCTCAGGTACCAGAAACTACATTCTCTAATGGTGACCAGCTGTGTGTTCTCAGATCAGGCTGACCTAAGGCCAGAGAGATGAGTTACCAATACGAACTTGGCCCTGTACCCCAACACTATTTGTTTATTTGCCCCTTCTTCAAAGAGCTAAAAAGGAAGTCTTGCAGTTCTTATCTTTTTCTGACAGTGACCAACTCCTCTAGCATCAGAAGATATAAGAATAGTTGGTGTATATGTTTGTGTGTGTGTGTGCGTGTGTGCATGAGAGAGAGAGAGAGAGAGAGAGAGAGAGAGAGAGAGAGAGAGAGAGAGAGAGAATATGGATGTGTGCATCTGCTCTGAAGCTGAGGCTGACCCTCTCATCACCTTGTGTGAATTCACAGTGGGGAGGCTATGACAGGTTCCCAGTGCTGACCAAATTACACAGCAAGCTTTTCATACTCAGGTGAAATCTGGAGACATTTCACTCTGGAAAGTCTATTTTGGCTTTGATTTTCAGAGAGAAAACAAAGCACAGACCTGCTACAAAGAATAAGAAAAAGGAAACAATCTCTCAGCAACTTTGCCTTCTCACATTGGCCATTTCCTGTCCATTTTAAGCTTTCCCATTCGTTTAGGTTCAAGGGTAACCAAGTACCAGCTTAAGTGACTCATTTGAAAAAAACAAAACAGATGGGGATAGATGTGCTGATGACTGGATTGTAGACTGTTTTTCTCCAACAGAGAGCAGTGTCATTAATGATACAAATGGGCACCTACTTTTTGGCCCAGTCTCAAATCTCATACCAATTATCAATGGCAGATTGTATGATGTCTCCCCATTTGTTTAATGGGATCAATTAGAGTTCAGTGTGTTTTAAGCACTTAATGAGATTTTATGATCAATCCTTGGTCTGCTTTGACCATCCACAGCTCCAAGAGCCTAGCTGTTATTTAGCTCATCATCCACACATTTATATGTATTCTTTCTCAGGAGTTTGCCTTCCCTTTGAAATTAGGTCTTAAGTTCAAAAGTCAGGGACTGTCTTAAACTCCTATTCCCCACTTCATCCCAGATCTCATCTAATAAAATGCTTGGCATACCTTCATGTTGATATTCTTGATCATTGACCAATGGATTGTGAACACAAAGAGTGAGAGGAAGAACAGATATTCTTCAGTTAAGGTCCTGGGATGGGCTTCCAGGAGTGACTATGCCCTCTCCCCCACCTTCTGGTCATACAAATATATATGCATATACATGTGTGCATTTTTTTTCTGGGAAAAAAAAGTCCAAGTCCTCCTCCTCCTCCTCCTCTTCCTCCTCCTCCTCTTCCTTCTCCTTCTCCTCCTCCTCCTCCTCCTCCTCTTCCTCCTCCTCTTCTTCCTTTTCTTTTCTTCTCCTCTTCCTCCTCTTCTTCCTTCTCCTCCTCCTCCTCCTATCTGTGGCCCCAGATGCTAAGCCTGATTTGGGGAGCTGGGTCTTCTCTGCCAGCCAGAGCTTACATATGCTCACTGTAATGCCTCCTCCTTCCTGGAGCATTGAGGGCTTCCAGGATATGAGCTCATTAATATTCAGAATGGCTCCCTGGATGTCAGGCAGGGGGCAGACAGGCGGCTGATGAAGAAGTTATAGCAGGAAGAAGGGTAGGGATGCACGGATATTGCCCAAGACCATGTGCTCTTCGTTGCTGGCTGGCCACAGCTCTTGCGTCTCCCCTGGGCTTCAGGGCAGAGCAGTATGTGTGCAGAGCGAGGTAGCAAGTCCAGTGTTGCCATTAACTAGCTGTATAATTTTTGGAAGACTTTCTTAGCATTTCTGAAGCTCAGCTTCTCCATTTTTAAAGCACAATTAATAAGAGTAGCTACTTCAGAGTAATATATTTAGGATTCAATGAGATCAAACATGTAAAGTATGTTCAGAGTCTTGTACCTAATAAGCCTTTAACACATCATAGCTGATATTACCATTATTTTTAGAATTTCACTCCCTAGTATTCTAGCCCTCCAGGTAGCTGGTGCTGGGCCTCCAGGCCTAACTCACAGACATTCCAGCTCTAACAGAAGTGGAACCATAGGTTCCTGCCTAATGTGTGACTCAAAGGCCAGTGGTCAGGACAATGACCTGAGCCCCTAACCCTGGTGCTAAGGACTGAATGTCACTGGGACTTACCAAGCCCATTCTTGGCAAACAGTTGTTCCCTAGTGGTGTGACTACTTCAAAATATGGGTCTGGAAAGCAAGTGAAGAGACAGTGGCCATGTCTGTAAGTGGGAAGGTCTTAGAGGTCAGTGTATACAAGAAAAGGCCCCTTTGGCCACAAGACAGGCCTGTAGTGGGGAGAGGAGCCCTGGATGAGGTCTGGTCCAACCTTTGCTAAGCTGCTGTGTGACTCTAAGTCACTGCCCACTCTGGGCTGGCTGCCTCAGCTACAAAGAGGGAAAATGGGCATCATTATGTCATTACTCTCTAAGACCTCTTTCAGCAATATATTCTAGTGATTGTGGGTACTTAACCAGGATTTTGAAAAGGAATCAATTTGAACATTTGATCTTAGGGTTTTATTTTCATTTTTGTTTTTGTGACTAGATCTTCCCCACCCCCAGGACAGACAGAAGGGAATTTCTTGCAGGCAGGTCTTGCCTTCTGTTATCATCCCCAGTGCATGGCACAGGCATGGGCATGCTGTCAGGGAACAGTGATTGGCTGCTGGGGAGGCAGGCATCTGTTTTGAATCCAAGATAAAAGCAATCAGTTTTTTGACTAAGGTAACTGTTTCTTCAAAAATCCTAGTGAAGGCAAAAGCAGAAGAATGAGTATACAACCAGAAAGATGTGGGTTAGCCACAGTAAAATTAATTAGATACTTGGAATTCTTAGAGGCAGTTGTGACACAGGAACCTCTCTCCCACCTCCTCATTGTCATGGCTAAATAAAGGGAAGTCTGTAGGGGATCTGAATGATCTCAAGGACACACAGAGAATATATCAAGATTACCCAGAGAGCCAGGGACCCAGTGAACTTGGAATACAACTCCCCTGCTTCCTGGTTCAGAGCCCTTCCTGACACCCAGGTTGCTTTCTAGGCTGCATCACTGTCATGGTGGTGTCAGAATATCCTTCCAGGGATGTCATTAAGATGAGAGGGGCAAGGCAGTTAAAAGGGTTGTGCAGATGAGGGCAAGTTCTGAGGATCTTCTAAGTCAGGAATGTTAAATATAGAGCTTATGTGTATAATTGTTTCATCTTACTTCTACAAAAGACATATTACTAATTGGAGATTTATACTCTTCCCCATTGAATCTAGATTCAGCCTCAAAATCCTTTGCATATTGATTGGAGTGGGCATGACCATTTTCTATCCTTGCTCTTTAACTGTTCTTAAGTGCAAACAAAATTAATGACTGCAATGCTGAGAAGCAAGGAAATTGAATCTTAAGTACTGAGAAACACTGTCAGGACTCCTTCATGAAATGTGCACAGAGAGCAAAGGTCATGAAGAAATCTCGAAAGCCAGGGCAAGATGGGAGAGTCTTCAGGAGACCACTGAAGTGGTTCAGTTTCATCCCTGTGTATTTCAAGTCCCCTTTCCAAATACGGAATAGCTGGCATATTCCCTAAGCAGAAAATATAGTTTTTACACTACCATGAATGACTATTCCATACTATTGTTTTTAATTTCTTCATGAGATTTCATGTAATGCCAAGAGCCTCACACACAGTGCATTGATGTTCCAAATAGGCACGCTCCACCTTTTCTTTTAAATAGCAACGTTCCAGCTGAGACATGCTGAAGTGCCCTATGAGACTCACAGAAGATGGACAGCCACTGCCAGTCTCACCTGCTGAAGGGCTCTCTGGATGTCGATCCCCTGGCCCCAGGGCACAGCTGGGTTAGCCAGGCAGTCTCCAGCATTTCCCCGGCGGGATATATCGATTCTTTGCCTCCTCAAGCTCTGGAAAGCCTCAGCCATCACCTTCACCCCATCGTAGGTGAGCGCAGAGGTGTACTGGTGGGAAGAATGGAGATGGTTAGGTGACAGAGAGCACTGATAGGGAGGCAGGAGGGAGCTGTATCTGGGTAGATGCTTCCTGGTGACCAGAATGCCTGCAGTGGGCCAGATACAGGGAATGGGAGGGAGGCAGTGGTGAACCAGGAGTTGCCTGCCCCTTATGTGGGGGCTTCTGTGAATTGCTAGCCAATATTGCCCTCCTAAACTATGTCTTGCTGGCTGTGACTTTGGAAGAAAAGCTGGGATTCTAGATTTTCATGTGCAGTCTTGAATAATGTTAGTTCGTTGGAGGAAAAAAAGAATGCATAGATTAAATTCAACACATCTGCATCATCTGATAGAGTCCATGAAAATACAGTTGCTTTTCTCCATGTTAGAGTCACAGACTGGGAACTCAGAGGAGCTGTTTATTCCACCATCCCTTGTGACAGTAAAATAAATAAATAAATAAATAAATAAATAAATAAATAAATAAATAAATAAAAATCTAGGAAGGGTAAGCACTTAGCTATTTTTACATGTGACTCACCCCAGGGGCAGGTTAACAAACTTGCCCCTTGTGCTTATTCATGATAATTCATTCCATCCTGCCCCCCACAACTACCCTCCTCTTGCCTAAAGGAGGATAAGATGTTGATGAAACAGAACCAGGATATCGGTCCAGGATAATATTTCCTGGCTCTGGGACTCACGTTTGTCATCTTTGTTAATTAGTCCCCAAGGCCTAGCATGTTCTCTGGCACATTCGAAGTTCACAATCGAGGGTAGGAGGAATATATAAGTATTTTTTTCTAGTTTTTAATTTTTTGATTCTGTCATATTTGATATAATATGTACATATTACATGTTGCTATTTTTATAGTCTGCTCTACTTTTTTCAAAACTGGGGTATTTACATATTAATTTATTAACTGCTATGTGGTTTGCTCATTGCTTTAAAGCACATCTGTGATTTTGTTTGCTTAGGTTCATATTGAAATACATCTTCAATTTGAATTGCTGAGTGGGTTTGAGTAAAAGTGGGAGGAGACACATCCCAGTTAAATGTCCTGCCATTCACAAAAAGATATTGACCTGGTGACAACACAAAGTCACAGAGGATTCCCTGATTTGCCCAGATAAACAAATCTGTCTCGGATCCTGCTCAATGCAGTGTTCCACAGAGTCACGGCCATGACATGGGAAAGAAAAATTCTTCTGCCCGTATTCTAAGCCATTATCAAATAGCAAACAAAATAGATTTGGGCTGCAGAATTTAGAGTTGCATTGCTGGGAAGTAGGCAGCAGACAGTCTGCCTGGTAATTGGGGGTTGTCTCTTTGAGGCAATCAAGTGCTTGATATTACTTATTTAGATTTCCCTGATTTTTAGCTGACCAGAATAAGGATCGGCTCACTGCACAAATCAAGGAAGCTCAATCAACAAACAAAAAATGTGAACAGCATACCTCTAGTGCTGTGCAAAATGGTGCCCCTTTTATTCAGCCTTCACTGTAGCTAGCTGGGGCTAGGTTTCTAAGACATAGCCAGTAGCATGTGGGTGGAAGATCTATGTGTAACTTCTGAAGAGGGCTCTTAAAGGAAACAGTTGTTCTTTTTATTTTCCTGTTCTCTTTCCTGCTGGGTAGACTACTGTGGTAATGGTTAGAGCTTCAGCAGCCATTTTGGGCTATAAGGTGGCTCTAAAAGCTGAGGACAGCAGAATAAGAAAACAGAAGATGCCTGAGTGTTTGATGATTTAGATCTGTTATATAAGCCCTGGATTGCTGACTCTGAATTTTGTTTATATGGGAGAAAAACAAAATGTGTCTTTTGTTAAAATCATTGTCATTCTGGGTTGTCTGATCTTTGGACCCTCAGTTATTATGGATATCTTTTCCTTAGTTTGTTCCTCTTAGAAAGCCTGACCTTCTTGAATGGCTAACATTGTACAGAAATCAGACGGCAGCCCTGGGGCCAGTTTGGTCCTTTACTCTCTGCTGCCCATCTCCTCACCTTAGGTCTCTTCCAGTCCACCCGGGTATGGTCTCGAGAGTCGCTATTCTTCCACTGCTGCATGATCTTGGCTGGGATGGTGTCTGTGTAGTTCACCAACTGGAAACCTGTTACATTTGCTCCACTCTCCTTGAATTTGTTTAAGTCAATGTCCATGAAGCCCTGTGCAAGGAGGAAGAGGAAGAAGTCAGAACATGTTGCCTGGATAAATCCATTTAACCATGTTACAGAATCACAGGATTTACCAAACTGTTCCAGAAGGTGGAACCAACTTAAAAGAGAGGCAGTTGTGCCTCCATTCCTTCTGAACTTGGTTATTCCTTAGTTTGTGCACAAAGTTGTCACAGTGGTTAAGAGTGCTTGCTCAGGAGCCAGCGGTACTTGGTTGAAGTAATGGCTCTGCTACTCATAGTTATTAGTGATGCTACATTGTACTAAGTTACCTGGTGGTTTCTTATCTCAGTAATGGAGGGTAGGTAATTGGGGAGAAAAAGCAATGTAATGATGCATGTCAAATGCATAGTGCAGATGGAGTGATCAATAAATGGTGGCTTGGATTATTATGATGCCATAGATACAGAAGAGAATTGAAACATAAGAGGTTGTCTCATCTCCCCCTCCATCCTCCATCCCTTTGAGAGAAGGGGAATCTGAAATTCAAGCTCCTGTGGACACCCCAAAGTCACACAAGTCTGTGGTAGAGGCTGGATTTTGATCATCTCTTTCCCTGTGCTCTTTCCAGTACCACAGACTAGATCTTTACTCAATGAGGTCTGCACAACTGTAACATCTACAAAGGATTCTTTAGTCAGAATGAAACTTTCCTCCCGATTTGATGAAGTTCATTTTAACTCAGGAAGCCTTCAACTTAAACAGGAAATCTTGTATTTGTATAATCTATAATGTATAGTACTTTCATATCTACAGCCTCATTTCCCTTTATGAGTTTTATAAAGTAGACATTAATGTCTATTTGCCAAATATAGAAACTGAGATGCAGTTGGAGAATCGACCTGCACAAAGGCAATTCACTGAATTAGCTGTTTGCTCACTCACTCCTCATGCAACAAACATTTTTGAAAACCCATGAAGCACTATTCTAATAGTGAATAAAACAAGTTCCTTCTCTTATGAAGTTTACATTCTAATGAGCAAGAGAGATAATAAACAAGTTATGTGGCATAACATAAATAGTATCATCTAGGAGACTATACTAGGCAGTAACACTGAGTCTTATGGCAAAAGATAAAGTTGGACAAGAGGATGAGGAGAGGAGGGTGATGCTATGGTTTGGCAGGTAAGATCAGGATGAGCCTCCCTGAAGAAGTGGTGATAGCACAGGGACATGAGTGAAGAGAAACCTTGTAGTGAGCTATGGGGACATCTGGGGAAGGACATTCTGAGCAAAGGCTCAGAGGTGGGAGGATGCTTGGCATATTCCAGAAACTGAGGAGGTTGGTATGGCTGTAGCATCGTGAGTGAGAGGAAGAAAGGGCTAGAAATGCAATCAGAGTGGCAGTCCAAAGCTGCTCACATGCAGCTTTGGGATTTGGGTTTCTTCTTAGATATTGTTGGTGGCCCACTACAGGGATTTAAGCTAGGATAATAATGTCAGTGCTCCGTGGGCTTCAAAGCTTGGGAAAACCATCAAATCCTAATGGGTGAAACTAGAAAATGAGCAGGGGAAGCAGTTGATGGATTGAGGATGGGCGGAGTCCCTTACTGGCAGCCAGGAGCCCTGAGTGTCCAAGTCTTTTGATTTCTTCCTGATTTAATCTATTTTCATTTTTCTCCCTATATATGTTTTTCTTGATTTCAGAGAAAGGAAGGGAAAGGGATAGAGGAATAGAAGTGTCAATGATGAGAGAGAATCATTGATTAGCTGCCTCCTACAAGCTCCCTACTGGGGATTGGGCCCACAACCTAAGCATGTGCCCAAACCAGGAATCAAACTGTGACTTCCTGGTTCATGGGTCAATGCTCAACCACTGAGCAACACTGGTTGGGCTGATCTAGTTTCTTTATTTAAAAGATTTAGCCATGAACAACTTCATGACTCAAAGATACTCCCTAGACCTTCTACCTCTAAAGTTATCTGATTCTTTTTATTCTAAATATATTTTATTGATTTTTTACAGAGAGGAATAGAGAGAAACATTGATGGGAGAGAAACATCCTTCAGCTGCCTCATGCACACCTCCTATTGGGGATGTGCCTATAACCAAGGTGCATGCCCTTGACCAGAATCAAATCTGGGACCATTCAGTCTGCAGGCTAATGCTCTATCCACTGAGCCAAACCAGTTAGGGCTATCTGATTCTTTATTATTTGTGTTTTATAAACAAACCAAGCTCAGTCCTACTCAGAGCCCTAGCCCTAGTTATTCTGGAAGTGTGTCTTCCTTGGATGTTTCCTTTCCATCTTTTGTATGTCAGCCAAAATGCCATCTCTTCAGAGAGGTCTTTCCTCTTCTTACATGCTAAGATCCAATTTTCATCCTGTGGCCAATGCTATTGATGTCCTGCTCATTTCCACCACCCTTCACACACTGACATTCTACTTTTTAGACTAACTGCAAATACCTGTTACTTCATCTGTGTGTAACATAAGCCAGATGTGTTAGGGCGTTATTATGCCCAAAAAAGCTCTCAACTGATGATAGATGGAGAGTTAGCAGATCAATACTCCAGAATCCTCTTTCCCTGGGGTGGAATAACACTGCAGTGTGCTCTACACCATGCCTGCAGATCCCCGAATGAATTGAGTTCCTATACCCCACAGGAGTAAGTGCCTTGATTATGAGCTTTTAATGATCATCTTTTCCCTATTTCACTTACCTAATTCCCTGCTTTTGTTTCTAGCATTGGCACCCACAAAAGTACTTGCACTTAAATCCTTGTCTTAAGACTCACTTTTGAGAGAACTTGATTAAGCTACAACCAACACTCAGTCTGTGCAGTTTTTTCCTGTTGAGTATTTACACCATTTGAGGTTATATCCTTCACTATTTGTTCCCTTGTCTTCTCTCCTCCCATTGGAATGTCAATTCTATGAGGGTAGGGACCTTTTCTGTTTTGTTCACTAATGCTTCCCATAACCTAGCACCTGGAACAGTGCCTGGCACAATGTAGATGCTTAATATATACTTGTTGAGTGAATTAATAAAAGCCATAGACTTTCCTCAAGCAAGAATGCTGATTAGCCAGGGGAAATATGATCAGTAGGCAGCAAATGCCAGTGTATAATTTTCATTGGTTGGAAAGAGAAGCTCAGGTTGGAAACATCTTTTGAAATTAATTTTGCCCATAGCCACAGTTTCCAGACTTTCACAGAGGTTTACTGATTTGCACATGGTTTTAGCAAGCTGTTACCACAGATGAAATCAGAATTAGGTTCTTATATCTAATATGCATTTGAAGACATTATACTACCTAAGAGTACAGCTATCCCACCACTAGTTAAAAGCTAATTCATAGTTGAGATATTGCCCATAATTTTTAGAGACATTAAAAAGAGCATTTTGTTCATAAAATAACTATTGAGAGAATGAAATTGAAATGATCTCCCGCAGTCAAATTCTGTCATTTGAAAATCCATAACAAGCTCCAGGGCAGTTGTTACTGACTGCCCCATCTTGAACATAATGGAGGCTGAGGGAAATGGCAGAGTTTATTTAAACACTAGAGGCCTGGTGCATGAAATTTGTGCATATGTAGGGTCCCTAGGCCAGGTCGGCAATCAGGGATGATCTATGGGGTGACCAGTGGAGCAATCAGGTGAGGGGAGGGGGAGAGGGGGAGACTGGCACCCGCCTTTTCCAGCCTGGGGCCTGCAGGCTGGGGCAGCTCCTGTGTTGAGCATAAGCCCTCTGGTGGTCAGAGCACATCATAGCAACCGGTTGTTTTACCATTCAGTCAATTTGCATATTAGGCTTTTATTATATAGGATGAATGCCACTTGACTCCACCATCAGAATGTCTGATTACAATGTTACTGGAGCCAAATCTCAGATACATCTAATAAAACTGATGGGATCCCTTAACTGAATTCCTTTACTCCCCTGAGAAAGAGTGGGCAAAGATTGATAAGACAAGCCCTCATCTGTGATATTAGGTAAAAGAGACAAAATCAGGGAAATGAGTCTCTTTATTATTGCTAAAAACTTGCTAAAAACTTGATTTCTTTGTAATGCAAGAGAATACTCTTCCAATTCAGAAATGTGTTCCTGACTATGCAAGGGAAATAAAGGTGTTAACTATTTGTCCTACTGTTAACTGGAAAATTCAACTCACTTTATTCCCCTGAGCACGCTCATTAAACAAGGTTTAATTACATCATTTTCTAAATTTTTGGGCCATTTTTATTAAAAAAATAAAACCTTTGGAGATAATATTTGGTAATTATCCTTTTTTATTTGCTTCATCTGTGCTATTAATTATATAATATTGTATAAAGATGAAGCATTGCTAATTACATTCTATTAAAGATTCAAACTATGAAGTTTGATCCTCACTACTCTCTTTGAGTCATATTGCCCATTTTATAACCTTCCCCCAAATACTGAGTGCTTTCTCTGTACACTATGACTACTGAATAAAAAATAAAATTCATCTACCAGATGCTCCTTTTCAAATGATTCAGTATGAGAACTCAGGTCTCCTAAACCTGGACTCCTTTCACTGTCCCTCTAGTGCTGCACCAGATGCTTCCATTCACAAAGTGACTTTGTCTCTTATAAAAAATGGGGTTTTGTGATGACCTACTATGCTCCTGTCTGCTTTTTCAGCATCTTTGTAGCATTTCACACAGTCCCATGAGTGACTGATGAATGGGTGACATGAGAAGAATGCTCTGACTATCATTTTCATTGAAATGCAAAATAAACTGTCTGGAGTACTGCAGGCTCTCAGGATAAAGGTCCTTAACCTGAGAGGTATTATACATCAGAATACATTAGGGAGCTTTTGCAAAATAGCCATCCCTAAGGATTACCATTCAGCAGCCTAGAGACTGTATATCTGTATTTTCCAGAGTTCTAATGCTAGTGAATAAAAAACCAAGGTTCAATATGTTAAAATTATAAAGACAGTCATTAGAAGAATTTTAAGTAATAGCATAACTAACAAACAATGAGGACAAGATGCGGGGAGTAGTATGAAATG